TTTTTTTTTTTTTAATGAAATAGTCAAAAAGATGTAACATAATTTCTGATGTGACAGCAGGAGTAGTACACACTCCTCAAACTCCATCCACCTCTTGGGATCTCCTCCTCCACCTCCTCTGTGGATTTGTGAAGCATATTTTTGGAATAACGTTAAGTCACTGATGTGGCATTAGCCAGTCTTGTAGAATAAACCCCAAAGCAGCTGTTAAGAGTGCAGGTTCAATTTCAGCTTCTTATATCTGTGCAGAGCTTCTTAACTTTCATTTGATTCATTTTAAAGTTTTAATTAAATCAAAGCTCATTATTTACACTATTTCTGGTTGACATTTTCAGTGTAGCTATTTATATTCTGTAATGACTCGAATGAATGAAGGAGTGTTTGCTGCCCCCAGAATTTTGCAAACTGCCTTTACTGTTACAACTGGTAACTGTACGCGTAGCTAAAGCAACAAGGAATGAAACCTTAACAACCACAGCAATAACAGAGTTGTCAAGCTGAACATGACATACCAGTGCGTTCTATTGCAAAAAGTACGGAGGGGTGCAAATAAATTGTGTGAATATGAATGATAATTTATTTCAAAACAAGCCCCTTATTTATTTATTTAAACAAATATCCTACAATCAGTCTCCAGCAACCCCATCTGCATATCAAGTAACTACATATGGGGTTCAGACCCTACAGTTGAGAAAGTATGAAGGTTGGGGGTGGGCAGATAGGTCAATGAGAGTGTGTGTGGGAGAGGCATAAAAAAAAGCAGTGGGAGGAAGAAGCAGCTGGGTGAAACTGAACAGACTTCCACCACATATTCTTTACATTCTTTCATTTACACAGCTTTTAATTTATTTTCCTGCAAAACTTCATAAGATAAATATAGTTCACAAAAACAATTCTACTTCATGGACCTCTTGTGTCACTCAGATCTCCCCAGAAAGGAAACAATGAAGATGGGAGAATTATTACTATAGATGAAAGAAAGGGCAAATTTACTCCACGAATGCGTTTTGTTGGACATTTTATGAGAAAGTGCTGTGTTAACGCTACAGCTGCATCTTATGGAGTAAAGATGAAAGTAAGGGCAGTGACAGTGACAGACGGCAGAGCATTTGTTTTCTCTACTTAAGAAAATGAATGACGTAGAAAGCAAGTGGAACAGCGCTACCGCTCTTCTTCTCTCCGGGTAGTGTCTAACCTGCATTTCCTTTTTAATGTCTTCTTCAGTGACAATAAATGGAGCTGTGTCTTGCAGAGAAAAGGAGGCCTGACCTCTTTTTCTGAATGAATGAAAATGACCTACACTGTGGGCCTGCGTGAATCTAAATTGAGTCACCAAGGGTATCCTGTGCAACAGTGTTCAGTTTGATTTAGAAACTGCTCCCTTGCTGATTCGAGGCAGGACAGGGGATGGCTGTGCCCATCGGGCCTAGTGGGGAGAATGTTACAATGGCTGATGTCTCTAGCAGCCAGCCTGATCCCAGACTGAGCACCAGACAAGCGAAGCAACACAAATGCAATTAGGTGCAGGAGGCGCAGACACACACGTGTACTCACACACACACACACACACACACACACACACACACACACACACACACACACACACACACACACACACATCCAGGCTATATGGCCGTCACACAGGATATCGTCTTGGCAAAATATAACATCCAACTCCTGTTGCTGCTTGTTGTGTCAAAAAAATCATTGTCTGTCACACACAAACACACAACCTGTGGTCTCTCTTTCTTTCTGACAGTGTCACACTCTCAGCCTCAATCCTAACACCAGCTCATGGGTGAATCTCAGACCTTGTAATCGACTATAAAACCTATATGTCATATTTTAACAAGCACCAACTCAAAATACCAAGCTAATATGTTCCACAGAAACATTTTCTATTGCAAAACATAAGGGTTAACTGGAAATTCAACTGCCATTGTTACACTATAATAGTCATAATCACACATGCTCTGTGGTGCAACAATGTCAAATTTCAGGGTCTCCCAGGGGAGAACTTCATAATACATTTTATAAAAATAATCCTTTCTGAATTAATTCAACCCCAAAACCTTGAAATTATATTGAAGTAAAAAAATAAATATAATAAACAATATATAAAAAAATATATATAATATGGATATATATATAAATCCACACCTTTGCTATCAAAGTATACGTAGCTCATTAACCTTAAGGTTAAGGGTAAATGTTAGTAACCATCACACATCATGTAATCCAATGGCTTTCAGTTGTGTGTTAAACCAGCAGGTTTTAGATTCAGCATCTGGATTCAATAACTTCATCTTCAAGTGTTAGATGAAAAGGACTAGACTGGGCTCTTTAGAAATCAGGCAGCAGCCATTGTGACTGAATGCTGTAACCTTACAACAGACTTCATCTAATGACTGTTAGATGCCACCTTAAGGAATCCTGTCTGTATTCAATATTAAAGAGAAAGCCTCCCTGATTCTCTCTTGAAATACATTTCTTTCAAAGGAGGATTGCGCCTTAATGTCGCTGATTAAAAAAACAATGTCCATTAGAACAACATTACGTGTGAAAGAGAACCATGTTTGTTGGGGGTGTTTGCTTGACTGATAGCCGGTCAGAGTCAGCCACAGTGGTTGCCACTTCCCCATCCCACCTCAGCCTCGTCGAGGAGGTGCTCATTTCTTCACTGTGGCTCAAATTAGGATTTTCTAGCTTCAGTATCACCCAAAGATGACTTGGCTAATGTCCAATCTTCCAAATATCTCCACCTTTATGGTTCCCCTAAAGACTATAGTTACAAGCCACAGGGGGGATCCCTTATGTACCCCTCCAGCAATTCAGACATCACAATCTGACTTGCAGATTCACACTGTCTAATCAAGCTTCACTATTAAAAAAAAAGAGCATAAATCATGGTTAAATGGTTTCTGCAGTCAACGTATTATAACACGTCTGCGGTTGCAGCCTCCACCATAGCATGAAAGGGAATGCTGGTGTAAGGATTTATTACAGCTTCATGGAACAAGGCTTACTACTTCATTTGTCTGTGATTTTGGACATACGGTTCGTGCTTCCATTCACACACAAGTCTGAGAACGGGTTTGCTCACTGGGAGACAAAATTCCAACATCGAGGTCTGTGCACAGACGCACATGTGAACACAGTACAGTGACTCTGGTGATGGTGACCAGTAGCCCCTCCACCCTCCCCTAATTTGATGCATGCGAGAAGCCCCTCTGCCTGCCTCCATGGCCTCTAGCTGACCTCCCTCCGCCTGCAGACAGAACACTTAACATTGCTTCCCCACCTGTAGAGATGTCTGAGGAACAGGGCCCACTTCAAAGCCCTGCAGTGATTGGGCCGTGATTACCAGGGGCACTTGACTCATTTCATCTCCTCTGAAGGACTAAACTTTGGGGGAATCAGGCATGGAGACATGGAATTCTTTTGAAAGGAAACAGGAGATTTAAGCCCCAGTTTGCAGGTGCTTTTCAGGGTCCAGATGATTTATTTTGATCGCTCTTTTAGATAACTGTCCAATGACACCGGTGGAAAAGCACAACATTACTGCTGAGTGCCCTGGTGCAAAATGTGAAGAAATATAAACTGCAAGTATGTTTTGATTGAGCCATCTTTTTTTTTTTTAACAATGAAAGCTTATGAAGGTAATTTCTCTGCTAAGGTTTTTGAAGTAGGTTGTGTGCAATCGGCACAGATGTTTGCAAAGAAATGTCATTTTGTATCAGTGGAAAAGCAGTTTGATAAAGCGGCACTGCTACAGTGACATGAAAGCCCAACTGAGTTCAACAACAACCGTCATCTCTGCTCTGCTTTTCTGTAGCTAAATGCCAGTGACAGGAACAGAATTCACTGTGGTAACTGATCAGGTGCCAAGCGCCCTCTCCCCAGTGCCCTGCTGCACTGAAGCCCTCTATGGAGTTGGCATGGCCTGGCTTGGCCAGGCAGCCACGGGCCCTGCTTTGTAGCTTTGCCCCGTCCATTCGAGCTGTCTCCAAATCAGACTCGACTACTGTCAGCTGCCCGACTCAACAACCTGAGTCAAGAATTTAGATGGGGTAAAAGGTGGCTGGTCCAGTTGTAATGGTAAGACAGCAAACAAGCTGATTTGATGTAAATCATCAGCTTACAAATGACCCAGAGGAAACTGTGGCAGACTTTATTCCACTAGAGTTGTACCCAGCTCAAATATAAGCTGATATTAATGATAGATTAAAGGTTTTATTATGTAGGTCTTTGTCAGTGGGGGATAAATATCATTTTAAAAATACCAAAGCAATGAATTAGTACCCTCACCATCTTTTCATACAGGCATAGTTAGAGATATTGTGAAACCAGGCCAACAATGAAAAAACGTATATGGGCACCAGAATTAAACCAGACAGTGGTGTTTGCAATTAATGTAAGGCTTCCTATATTTTAAGATGACCATATGAGATTTACTCTATGAAACATATAGCTGTTATGCATTTCTTCATCATCTACATGTGAAGCCATCTGGGCCAAAATACACTGTAATGATTAATATTCCATGTCTGTAAAATGAACTATAGCCTTCAAGGCTTCATAGCCTCAATAAGCTAATGTGCTATTTGTTTTAGGATAAGCTATCATCACAAATTATACTCATCTGCCTCAAGATACATATATACATTGCTACTGTTGGTTCCTACATCACAAAGGTCTGTGACTAAGCATACAGATTCAAGACCACATCCATGTTTACAGCATTTAACTGTCAGACTCCGGCTAACGTCTCATCCTAAAACCGTCGATGAGATGTGTGGCCTCGATGTGTTTGCCTTCGACCTAAAAATAAAGGTATTCGCACGGAACCTGAAGTTGAATGCGTCGAGGCACGTACTCGCATAAAGGCAGGTGCACCTGTCTGCAGTGGCAGCCTATTGTGTTCACTATCAAATGAGCCATGAATCGGCCTGTCGCGCTGTTTGTGGGAGGATAAAAATAAAAGCAGGTCTGTCTCTTACCGTTCTGTTTTCAGTCATTACTCCCCATCGTAACGTTTTCAGTCCAGACCTCTGACGAACCGTTAATTCCTATCAGGCTGTCTCACTCTCTCCCCCTCTCTCGCTCATCCCCATGTCATATTTCTCCGCTGCAGCAGAACAAAGCCACGCCTCCTCCGACCGCCGCTGCCGCGTGACGTCAGCCGGTGAGCAGCGTTGGCACACGCCCTCGGATACACGTCCAACCCGGAACCGCGAGAGGCCGCTGTGTCTGAACAAAAACAAATCACTTCAAATCACTTGATTTTTGCCAAAACTGGAGGGATGTGAGTGAGTTTCCAACAACAATGAACGGTAAGATTGCTATAGGTAACATGAGAAGGTAGTAGCAATTATAAATCACGATATTTTTCCAAACAATGCACTTCTTCAAACGTAGCCTATAAATCAAGCAAAAGTAGGCTGTGAATTGTTTGTTTGTTTTGTTAAGATACTTGTACTCAATACCTCTATATGCCTACACAGCGCGATACAACCCCGTTATTCTGCTATGAACATAATATTTTTACCATGGTTCACTATTTTCTTTCACATTTTATGCCTTTCCATAGGCCTACTATTATTTTATTCCTCCTTTTTAATATAGGCTACTATTCTTTTTTCATTCCCCTTTTTATATGATATTAATGCAGAGAAAAAAGAAGAATTTCATTATAGTGTGACTGTTGCTTTGTTCATATGACAATAAAGTCTTTGAATCTTGAATTTATAAAGGCTTTATGAGCTTAAATTAATGGCTTTATTAATGGTCAATAAATTGCTGACTAATGCAGATTTGCAGATCACTCATAAACCATTAACAACGACATTTGGGTTGCCAGGATGTGAAAAATCCTCATCCAGCCTGACATTTTGCAGCACTTAAATTCATTTAGGAGGACGCCTCTAAGCCATCAAGTTTGCTGTTCTAAATGTTAGTAAGCCATTGATAAAGAGTAATGGGTGTCTCTGTTAATCACTCACCTTTGTTAATAAGAATAAAGGGTTCTACAATAAATGATCATGGCTGTAGTTATAAATGTATATATAGGCCTAAATTTTGGTCCAGATGCTCTACCTGCCTTTTCCAGAAGTTCAGTGGTCAAACATTGGAGCGATCTCACCAATGAATTAAAACAGCTGACTAAAAAGACAAAAGTGTCATGCTGGAGTAGGATTTTCCACAACCTGGTGATCCAAAACTTTCCTTATTAATGGCTTTTATCAGATTTATAAAGCTTTAATAAATAATTTATAATCTACATAATACATAGCCCAAGTGTCTTACCAGTGAGTGGTACCCTAAAAAAAACACTAGAAGACTTCCTTTTAGGTGCACTAACTAAACTATCTAAAATCTCTCATTACTGTTGAGTTACTGACGAAACTGGTGACGTGTGAATTTAAATTGGGGGGAGTATAGACACATATTTAGTTTCTAATCATATAAATCACTTAAATATTCAGTTTTAAACCTTAATCAGGGTTGTGGACTTCCTCAGCAGTATTTCAAGGTGCTTGTTATAACCATCGACATTTTACCTGCAGCCACAGGTGAGTCTTTATCAGGTATTTTGGTGTGTCAGGTGTTATCAGATCCGGAACCTCCCTCTTTTTAGGCGAAACACTGGCATCAAAAGCTTTTGATGCCAGACACTCAATTCCTATCAAATGTTTTTGGGAAATTATGTGAGGTGTTCTGGTTTATTAAGGTTGTACTGTAAAATATCTATCTATCTATCTATCTATCTATCTATCTATCTATCTATCTATCTATCTATCTATCTATCGAGTCTTTATTTTCATGTAATATGCTGACCGCAGTCCACGCTCATTGTCCAGTGCTTCACTTGGACGAACTGGTCCAGCAAGTTATTTCTGGGCTGGTGTCTCAGAGCCCCATATCGATCAGCCAGCGTACCTGCTGCACGGACACTGCGTCTTTGGAGACAGCCCTGACTGTTCGCTGCCTTGCTGTCTTCCAGTGAAAGTCCTCGGGCGCAGCCATGGGGTCCGTCGCCGCCTTCCTGATCTTTCTCTGCTGTGTCGGATTTATTGCGTGTAAACCCTCGTCGCCCTGTCCGAGTGGACAGTTCATGCTGAAGAACCAGTGTGTCCTCTGTCATCCCACCTGCTCTGAGTGCGACGGGCATGAGCTGTTCGAATGCACTACCTGTGGAGTTGGTGAGTAAGATAACACAGCGTGAAATAATGGCTGCATCTCGTACGGGAAAAGACAAAGTGTATGTCAATTATAATAATAGGCTACTATATAATTCGATGCTCTCGATGTGACCCAGGTGGAGGTTTAAAAAGTAATGTTTTTTGATAGTTTCTAGAATGGGCAGCAAATGAATCATCGCCAGCTAAACTAAGGTTTCACCTAAGTTAAAAAAAAAAAAAATGTATGTTTTTTTAATTTACTGCCTCTAAATTGCTTTCCACTGGCAAATATGATAATTATTATTGTTTTTATTCATTCATGTATTTATTTATTTTGGCCCCGCAGATGCCAGATTAAAACAAAGCCATGTCACAGACTCATTAACCCAGCTGAAAGCTAGGTAGAGTTTTTCTTTTTTTCTTTTCTTTTTTTTTTTCAAAAGCAACACTGTGTAATGAGTACTGAGAGCAAAGTTGTTTAAAGGGTTTTGCATTAGAGGAGGAGCATTCAGCTCTGGTTTACCATTTACTCTTAAACAATCAAGACAGTGGCTGTAGAACTTGTTGGGTTTTTTTTCACTGGGGCACCTATGAAATAGGTAAGAAATGAAGGTGTGATCGTTTTTCTCCCCAGTTTTCACAGTGTAATCTGATCATGTCAGAATGGGGCCTTTGTTAATCAGAGGGAAAGGGAAAAAATATCCCCTCAGGCTAGAAGTATTACTGTTGCAGTTCACTGGGCTTAACCTACTAAACCTGCAAGTCTCTCTCTCTCTTTCCCTCACACACACATCCCGTATATGCTTTCTGACATTGCCACAGTCACGCATTTCTTCTTCTGCTGACTGTATCTCAGTGCACACTGCTGTAGATGTTTTTGTTGTGTAGACTTCAGTATACATCAGTATACATTGGATCCTGGCGTGTATATCTGTGTGATGTTCTTTGTGGAATGAAAGTCTCAACCCCATTCCTCGTGCTCTGTGGTTTGTAGTCATGTAGAAGCCACATTTCTCTGTGCGTGCCGTGGTTACGTCTCTGGGAAGTGGAAGGTTTAGAAAGGCAGCAGCAGCTTGTGGCCCCTCTCCTCCCTGTCTCACACATCTTCTGTGCAGCGCTGAGCAGATGAGACAATGCTGTAACTCATCGGCTTCCAGAGATGCCTCAGGTGCCACAGCTAGGCTAGTGCGGCAGGTGGCAGAATATTAATCATTAGGGCCAACACAAGACTCTGTCTCTGCCCTCAGCTCTGATCTCTCATCTGCCTCTGATTGCCCTTGTTTACAATAGTTAGGGCATCATCAGTCAGTGATCTCACACGGGGATCTGTTATTTGCAGGCCTACAGCCAGCATGCTGGGCGGCAGCCATCAGTTTAGGATTTTGTTCAGGACTTGGACATGCATTTTCTGTCTTTTTTTTTTGTCAAGGATGCATGAGCAATGACATGTTGTATGAATCCTCCGTTTCCTGATTAACTGCCGCCGATGCACTCGCTGAGCCACGTGACATCTCTCTCTTTTGAAACAAACAAATTTGATCTCTGTAATATGTGTCTGTGCTGTAATTTGTTCTGAGCCCTGAACTTTCACACAGTTGGCAGCGAGTCCTTTCATCTTTTCTTCATCCCATGTAATCGTCGGGCCCATTTGGCTCCACCTCTGAATTTATTATGAGAAGCTCATTGATTTTCACTTCCAGAAGGGTCTAGATTTTTTTTTTTTTTTTTTTTTTTTGGAAAAGGCCTATCCTGGCAGGAGTTCCATATGGATAGTGGCATCTTCATCAGAGGAGAAAATAGAGTAGGTTGTATGTTAACAAGTCCTCCGTGCCCACCACCTCCTTCTCCTCAGATGAAGATGGACAGGAACGCTTCCTCCACCAAGGTCGCTGTCGGACACACTGCCCCCGGGGACTCTATCCTGACAGGGGTCACTATGCCTGCCTGCCCTGCATAGCCAATTGTGAACTCTGCACAGATGGCAACATATGTGCCAAATGTCGGGAACACTACAAACTCCAGAATGGGGTCTGCCAAACGGCGTCCTGTGACATAGGTAAATGTAAAGCAGAGTTTCTGAGTAGGCTGTAGCTGAAGAGGAAGACACTCGGGTTTATAATGCTGGGTGTCTCTGTTTCCAGGGCAGGTGCAGGACCCTGATACAGGAGAGTGCATTGACTGTGAGATGGGCTGCAAAGCATGTTCCACTGGTAAGTTACACACGCTTCCTGTCAACAACGTTTATTAAAACCCTGGTGATAATGGTGCACAAGTTTGGTTCTCACCATCAATTCTAATGAATCACCTTTTTTCATTTGTACGCAGAAGATCCCGAGATCTGCAACAGTTGTGTTGAAGGTTACTTTCTGTGAGTTTTCTTTTTCTTGCTTTATTATTCTGTCTTCCCATACCTTCCCATATCCCATGTCTGGTATATTATCGAATGCATTCTCATTTTAGATGCCTAACATTTAATACCAAGGCTGCAACTAGCAGTGTCAGTTTTTCTGATTAGTCTGTTATATCCTCTCAACTGGTAAATTGGTTGGTTTATGAAATGTTCCCCAAAATGCCCATTGCAGTTTCCCAGAGCCCAAGTTGACATATACAAAATACTTGTTTTGTCCGACCAATACTGCAAACCCAAAGGCATTCAGTTTACAATCATAGAAGCAAACATTCATCGCTGGGAGGCTGGAATCAGATCATTTTTGGCATTTTTGCTTTAAAAAAATTATGAAAATTGTTGTTGATTCATTGTTTGTTGATTGACTAATTATTTCAGCTCTATTTAATGCAGTAAATTTCATTATTGTCTTTTTGATGTGAAGTAGGTGTGGTGCTATGATTCATTAATATATATTCCTAATTTTTTTTTAGCAGTTTTAAATTATGGACATT